GCTTAGAAACACACCATGACATTTTAATAACATGATGTATTTCTTTTCTTTTCCAAGTTAGTATGTGTTTAGTGCAATCACATGTTATTTTTAAATACAATCTGCTTTCCCTTGTGTAGATCCACATTCTTCACATTTTGTGCAAAGGAAAAAATATGTTAGGCTGTGAATTTTTATTTTATCCATTTTATGTAGAAAGAATAAATTAACTTCAAAGAAATAGTCATGCCTTTATTATTTTTTAGTTGTGTAATCACTAAGCTCTATTTACCAAGTTAGAGTCATTCACTCCTTTGTGAATAACAGTGTGTGACAGACCAAATTCCTGCATGGCTGATGTTCTTAGCCATAGCAGCCGACACATGAGCAATAGGTTAGTGTGCACAACATTGTCTAAATTGTACAGGATCAAACGTGCACTGACACATGACTCTGTTCACAGTAGATCTGTTTCTTTGAAAATCTTTTACAAATGTCTCTGGATCTGCTGAATTAAGAATAGTCAAGACCAGTAATGAGATACTTGAAACTTTCCAGGAGATCATTTGCCTGAGATATGCTTCAGAGACCTCACAGTGGCAGGCCATAATGCCCACCCACCCAGCCAGACTAGTGCAGACAGGTGACTCCATCTGCGCGACAGGTATGCTGATCACATCTAGTTTGGCTAGCTATTTTCAATATACTTTCCCCCAACATTTTAGGTGTTACAGGTAATCACATTTGTAAACCAGACTTCACCTTCTTATAAGCAGGTGTTTTGTTTTTTTTTTTAAGTGCTTCTAATCTGTGCCCATGTCTATGAAGATAAGTGATTTAGACTCTGAATTCTAGCCTTGCTCTACCTTTATGAAGTACTGCTGAAGTACATCCTACCTGGCTACCCTTGGCACAATGGATGGGAGCTTGCAGTGATCCTATGGAAATGCCACCAAGTTCTAGTAAACCCACTCCTTTCCCCACTCTATTTTACAATCTAAGCAATCAGTTTCCTTGAATAATTAATATCTACCATGGTAAGAAGCCTGACAACCTTAAACAAGTCACTGAATCTTGCCTGCTGGTGTCCAGATGCCTATGCATGTAGGGAGACACTGTCAGAAGTTTGCCTGTGCCAGCGCTGTCATGGACATCACCTCATGTAACCTTGAGCCTTGGGAGGTTGATGTTCTCCCCCCCTCCCCCACCCCCCTATCCCAGTTTCATGGGCAAGGAAACTGGAAATCAGAATCTAAGTAAACTTGGCCACATCCACAGCCACTAGGGATTCCAGCCCAGAACCACGATACTCATTCTTGTTTTTTAACTACAAAAGAGGGACCTCATGTTTCATAGGCTTCTGGGGCTTAAGATCCCTGCAATTGTCTGGTGTAGGTTAGAGCTACCCAGAAATGCCTGCCTGTTTCCATGGACTTGAATTTGCTGGTGAGGATCTGAATCCAACTGTAGACAAATATCGTCAGTTTATAAATGTGTCTCCTATATGGAAACTTCCTAGCCATTCGCTAAATAAAGGAAAGAGATATAATAGATGTCATAGGGAGCTTGATGCAGCCTTTGGAGTTCCACTTAAATAGCAGAATTCAAGTCTTTCGTTTAATGTCAGCATCTGTGAGCATCGTCATTCTCAGTATGTTTAACTGACGGTTTTGCAAACATGGTGAGTGTTGCTATTATGCAGAAGTCAGTTGATTACGAAGTAGTACCAATTGTCAACACATGATTTCATTGTTTAACAGAATGTACTCTATGCCTGCTTTCTGACATCTCTGTCAGGAAAAGGTCATAAGAAAAAATATGTAAAGAAGATTTCATGTAAATCTTTTTAATTCAACTTCTACTCCTACCTTAAAAAACCTTTTTTCAGATTCCTTTCTGGTTTGTTTAGGAGTAATGTTGCTATCAACTTTGCACAAATCGTGATTTTATTCAGTTTAAACTGAGGATCAACAGTCATTTTGGCGTCCCAGAAATTGTGTCTGTTCTCCTAAGTTTTACAGTCATTTTCCAGAAACAGTACACCCCCTACCCGTCTACCATGCAACGCCCCTTGTGTGCAAAGAAATACTTTCAGACATAAGTCATAATACCAGATCTGTTGTTGGGGTGTGGCACAAGACACCCAGAGCCAAGGAACTCGGCTTTCAGGCGTGGCTCCCCTCAGGCTTTTTGGGGTCACACCAGAGGCTGAGGTCAGGTAGAGACCAGCAGTGGTCATGGCTTCTTTGTCGCCCTGAAATTGTGGGTCAGCGCCTTTTTCCTTGCTCACCCGTGCATGTAAAGGTTTATACTAATAGTATTGAACAACTATGGGACTAACCATACTCTGTGTGTGAGCAGGAACCACCCTGACCTCTCTCCTCCTAGAGCTGCCTTGCAGACCGGAGAACACTGCTCATGGGTTTCAGCTACAATGTCTCTGGATGGTTACTCCATTGCACTAAAACTGGTTCTATTAAGTTGTCATGAATTTTGACTTCAGGAGACTGCCTCCCAAGCTGATTATGTGTGGAGTGATTTGACAATGCAAATGAGGTTTTTTTTGTCTTCCTCACCCTTCTGGGCAATACTTCCACACCAAGGTCCCTCTGTCCTTAGGATTCATAGGCTCACAAGTACCAATGTCCAACTTCCATGCTTTCTGCTTATCAGACTTTGGCAGAAGACACAGATTCAGTTCAGAATCAGGCATGTACTGCTTTCCCCTGCTATTCAGAACAGTATTCCTTTGGGTATGGGAATTTAGCATTAATTTAGGAAAATGTATTGAGTGTTCCCAGATTAAAAAAAAAATTATACCAATTAAGAATGATCTACTTTGGAATAGCAGAGAAACCTGTGCACCCTGTTGTTCCTGAATGCCACCCACCACCCTGGTCCTGGTGTCCGGACCCAGGGACTGCATCCCTGCTGCATAGGGACTCGTAGGGTTTGGCAGAGATCGAGGGTGTGACCCAGTCTACAACCTACACCACTGTGTCCTACAGAACCAGTGCTCAGCTTCCTGGCCTTTCAAGGTATTTCAGGTCAGAAGTTAGCAGTGTTTGTTACAGAGCTGCTAGAGCTGATTCCTTACCATGGAGCTGGGACTTGAAAAGAATAGACATACCACCAAAATTCCTGCCCTGGCATAAATAAGAAGGCTGCAACCTGTGCACCTGAGGAGTGCAGGGAAGCTGAGCAGAGCATTAGGGAAGGACAGGGATTATAGCTGCATGTTCTTTGTGAATTTTGCAACTTTTGGTATTGCATTTAGATAGTACCTTTTCCACTGGTTCTAAGGAAAAAGTAGAGCAGAGAAAGCTAACTCTTAGTGATAATAGCGTAGCTACTTTATTTAAAAGGAATCTGCGTTTCCTCTTCAGGGACACATCCAACCCATTCCCAGTGAAAAATCATCATTGTGCTCCAAACATGTCATTTCATAATGAGCCAGGTTAATCCTAGGAAAGTTAAATGACTACGTAATCAGTCATTGGAGACCAAGATAAGCCTCCCACGTCCTGATTCTTGGTGTCATGATTTCCATATGATTCCTGGCTATATGTATCTTTCACCATATGATTTATTTATTTTTAAAAGATTTATTCATTTATGCATACAGAACTGGGGTACAGGCCAGAGGCGCATGAGTGGTGAGAGGATTCACAAGAGGCATAGTAGGGAGCAGAACAGGCAGATTGACAAACTACACTGCTGAGAGGAGCAGCAGGCTGGTAGGAGAGGTCTGCCATGCCATGTGGGTTATCTCCCTGGCCGGGGATCGAACTCGTAGTAAAATGGCTGCGGCAAAGTCCATGGTGCTGCACTTTAACCCACTGTACCATCAGGGAGGGCCCTACCATATCATTTCTAAAGTACTTTATGAAATGTTCTTACCTACAATAAGACAAATAGCAAAAGTAAAGCCAGGATTTCATGAGACACTCCTTGTATCTGTATACAAAGATGGCATGCAGTTTATATTTTCAGAATGTAGCTAGGCCTTAATGTGCATGTGCATTATTACAGTATAGCTCTGAAGCTAAACAGAACAACCACTTGTTTATAGTATTATATCATGAGGAATGCTTGCCACGAGGTTATTTATCACTTTTTGGAATGAAATGGAAGTAATCATCTGTCCAGAGCATGATGAAATTTCAAGGTGGAACAGGATTAAAACTGGACATAATTTATATTTTTAAATGACACAATCAGTTGAAGTAAATGAGTCTTCCAACTTAAGGACAAGGCTCTATCAGTCATTCTATTTTTCAGCTTTTCTAGAGTTCTGCTCCTAAACACACTTGCAGGATCTCAGTGGTGCATACCTCACTGCAAGGCTGCTGGGTATAGTTGGTTCTTGGACTCATGCAGCGTGGCCTCTCTTGAGCCATGGGACCTGGGAACCTCCCAAGCCCAGGCAGTGGTCCCAGAAACCCAGCATTTCTTGCATTTCTGCCCTGTTTATTGACTTCATTGCTCTTACCTGTTAGCTTAATTGCTTTATTTATTTCAAGTTTATTGCCCCTTCCAGGCTATATCTTCCCAGTGAGCAATTCTGTTTGTCCCTATCTCTATGACAACACCTGGAAGACAGCTGAATACAGTCCGGGTGAAGAATGAATGCAGGCATGACTCGGTCCTCTGGTTCCAGCATGCTAATGCTGTTGACTTACCTTATTCGTTTGGAGACCCCTCTGACACTAATTATATTTCCTTAGCCATTTACAATAATGCATTTATTTTCGCACTGCAAGAAGCAATGCAGGATTCTTGTTAAAGGACTAGATTGTTTTACTGTCAACTTGACCAGCTCAAATTAATATTGCTCCTACATTCCAAAAGTGATTATCAGACTCAATTTTTTTTGTTCTCTAAGGTTGTATATAATTCTGTTCCTAGCCATCTGCCTTAAGCCTTTAACCTTGAATCAAACAGTCTTCTCATATTACTTTTCTTGTTCATGTTGAGATTTCAAAATCCTAAGTATTAGGAGAGGGAGCTTGGAAATAGCATTAACTCAAGTGGGTGAATCAAACTTAACGTTTTGAAAGATGCCCAGAAAATAATCAACTTCAGTTGAATGTGCTGTTGCTCTCAATTTTATATGAAAGGTTGGTAATAATAACCACATTTGCCCTGCACTCCAACTTTCCCAGATGCTTTTTATTCTTCTCTGATCTTCATAGCATCCTTGTGAAGTGGGGCTGAAAGGTTGTGATCATGGGGAGAGAACTATTAAAATACTAACTAAAGCTTGAAATATTGGAGTAACCTGCCCAAAGTGTCAAGACAGGACTTGAAGTTCTTAGTCTGGTATTTTTCAGGAGCAAAACTGAGAGTAGCAAGATAAGTCAGCATGGTTTTCATGTGTCTTTTATACATCATTCTAAAACTAAAGATAGAGGATCACTGCATGATAAAATTTTAATAAATGGTTTTGGTGGAATCTAGCACATAGTAAATACTAATAGGTTAGATTGAATAAAAGATACATTTGAGTAAATTGGGGCAAAGAAGATAACATTAATAATGACCAACAGAGCAAAAATTTTCAAAATTTCATGCATTGGGTCCACATTTTACAAAGTTCTCATCAAGGATAATTAATTTATTTTAAACAAATGCTACTGCTTTCATAAAAACTTTTGGTCCTGAGTAAAGAATAGAGAGGTTGATCTTAAAATATTTTTTAGTCTTTCAAAAGTCTTACTTAGAAAAGTCTTAAATACTATGGAGCTCACATATACCCTGCTAGAGCTTCCCCTAATTTTAACAAACACATCCATGCCATAGTACAATTCTCAAAAACTAGATGTTAACTTTGCAGTAGTGTTTTAATTTCACACATGTAATTACTAGAAGGCATAAAGTCAAGCCAGTAACTATTTATACAATACTTGTAGCATTATGGTCTTACTATTGTTTTCACAGCAAAATAATAAACAAAACACTAATTCACAAATTGTACCTGTCACTTCTTCCTGCCATTATATAATGTCTTGCTATTAAACCATAACATACATAATTTTTAAAGAGACATATGGGATTCTCAACTCACAGTAATACTGAAGTCTGTTCTAAGGAGGAATTTACTTTGTCCCAGGTTTTCCCAGCCTAGCTCTGCAGTGCACATAACATCCTATTGTCAGGAGAAAAAAGCTTGCAATAGGATGATTTCTTTCTAGAGATGTGAAACTGTAACTGTCACTAATGCTGCTAAAAGACTAAACCTTGTTTGTGGTTATCCATCTGTGTATTGATGGATTTGGTTGACTGCTTAACAATATTGAACATAGTTTGAGGCAATTATCTTTCCTACTGATGACAAATACTCCTGCAATAAACATAAGACTACAATTTAGAAATGGCAAGGAAAACTTGGAATTACTTGACATTTTGTGGTTTAAGAACAATGCTTGAATATGATCTTATGCATGAAAATGCATAGGATGATATTTCCCTTGTTTTAATATAATTGTTTTCAAGATGAAGATGTTCCAGGGTTGAGTCATCATCTTCTTCAGTATTACAAATTTGTTCTGGAAGAATATTCCTAAGGAAAAAATAGATATATACAAATCAAAAAAGATCCAAGTAATACTCTGCCTTCATAACTTAGAAGTTAGGTTTTATATTGTTTTTAAAAAGTTATTTTTTATTCAAATTAAGTGGGATCCTCTTAATATATAGCAGAAAAAAATCCTGATTGCTCAAAGATCTGACTATGAAAGGTGAAGCCATGGAAGTATTGAAATAAAGCATGACCTTAGTATAGGAGTATGGAAGAATCTTCCTATTTGTCACCAAAAACCCAAAGCACTGAAAGAAAAGATTAATAAGTGGATACAAACTTTTGTTTTTGTTTAAAATGGACACATAAAATGCACAGTGGCAGACTAGGAGAAAGTATTTGCTATGTAATCACAGATAACAGGTTAAATATAAAGACTTCCTAAAAACCCAGAAGGAGTAGGGGTTAAAAAAGGAAAAAAATAAATTTCACAAGAAGAAAAAAATGATGTGCAAATATACAAAGGTGCTCGATTACATTTCTAGTAAGAATAGTGTCAGTTGCAACTAGATTGGCATATCACCAGATAATTGCCACCAAAAAAGAAAGAAAGAAAAAAAAGCTTATCAACATATTCTGACATTAAGTCTCTATAGGGAAGGGACTTCAAACAGTGCGACTACATGGAGAGGAATTTGGCATTAGCTAGCAAAATTACATGTGCAATCCTACCTATAAGAATCTATCCTAAACTTAGACTGGTAAAGTACAAAATTATATTTGTGCAAAGTTCATTGATGTGACTTTAATGTAGTGGTAAAAGAATGGAAGAAGTCAAAGAATCACTTAAGGAATTGGTTGAATAAGATTTCTACACGGTGAAATACTATTTAGTTATTAAAGGGATGAGGAAATTCTCTGTATGTTGATAGCAGTATATCCTGCCTATCACTCCTAAGTTGTAAAAATTAAAAAATAGGAAAAATGTATATGAGAGTGAGAAGGAAAAAGAGTGAGACATCTGTGTAATAACATGTAATAATTGTGAGTGAGGGTGGGGAATGTGTGTATACTTATATTTGCAAAACGTTATACTGGAATTACCAGAAACATTTTATCTATGGGGAAGGATGGAATAGAACATGAGGGATTAGGATAGAATAGTTTTCAATATAGCTCGTTATACAGTTTTGACTTTGGAATCACATAATGTATAACATAGTAAAAATAATGTTAATTCAGACAGAAAATAGTAATACCTAAAAAGCAAAAACCAATTATGAACATTAAGTTGTTCACATAGTGTTACAAAGAAAACTGTATTTCAGTTATATATTCTTCATGGAATATGTTCTAAAGACTAACAGAGCTACCAAAAACACTGTAAAAAATTAAGTATTTTTGTTGTTACCATAATAATGGTAATGACATTTTAAAATGATTATTTAGATTTTGTAAGAAAACAGACTTATGCTAATGTTATTATAAACCTAGATGCAGTATAAGAGAAACAAAAGGAATACTTTTATTACATTACATTTGAGTTAGGAATGTCAGCATGAACTATTATTCTTTTTCTTTACAAAATGCCTATCTCCTGGCAGTACACCTGGTCTTGAAACACTAGAAACTCATTTGAAAGGAATGTACCACTTTGGTACTGGTGAAGGTTATTCCCTAGTGAAGGGTGCTGTGGGCGAGGGAGGCCCTGTGCACAGAAACCAGGAAGGCTTAGGTTTAAGAACAGTAATTACAATCTTAATATATAGAACCATACGTGCATATTGATTCTCCAAAGAAAGAGTGTCAAAAACAAATTAACGAAGCCAAATTGCTTAACAACAATTTAAAATTTTAACTAACAAATTAATAACAACTTACTATCTTTATAGTTAAACATGTCTTTTTTCAGTTTTATTGATGTAAATGACATAAACCATCTAATTGTTTATAAAGTGTACAGCATGATTTAGTATATATAGCCAAATGATCACCACAGTTAATTTACTGAAACATGTCACCTAGTTATAAATCTGTAATCAACTTCTTACCTTGATGGGCATTTTAAAGGCAAGAATTTGATTTACCTCCTAGCCTTTCAGAATAACAAAGTAGCCCTAGTTGATAAAAGAAAATTATGTAAAAATGAATTCCAGCTAACAATTGTGGAAAGAATTACAAAAACCAGAAAATTGACATTTTTTAACCCTTAAATTCAAGCAACAAACATCTGTGAGTGAGTGATGTTACTGATTCTGTGGTCAAGAGAAAGTTTGTAATAGAGATACCAGGCCATGACTACCTAAGTTCACTGATAAATTTTAGAACTTCCAGAAGTGGAACAAATATATATAATATATGTATAACACAACTTATAATAAAAAAAAAACTGTTTCTTTCAGGATCTCTTTCCCCTCCCTGGTGCTTTTATAAACTCATAACCCTTCTCTGTTTGGTGTTTTGGGAGTATAAATGTCTCTGGAATTTTAGAGATAGGAAATGAACAAGTATATAAGGACAGGACACAGAACTCTGGAATTCTGTTCACTCTTGCCAGCATTAACAAGGTTTTCCAGGATTGTTCTTGAGACATTCATGCTTCCTAGGCAGGGAGAGGGCTCAGGCACAGACAGAAAACTGACAGGAAAAAAAAATGTCCCCAGAAGTGAAGGAAACTGAGTCTCAATACATTTATTCAGAATTTTGCTCTCAGAAAAATCCAGTTAGAAGCATCTTTAATTTTGGCATGCATTTTGCTTTATGCTGTACAGATTAGAGCTATTAAAAGTATATATGAATGTGGAGCAGCACCATGATCTGTTGCCATGAAATCTCATTGTTTCTGCCTTTAAGTTTTCAATGTACTGGTACTCTATTTTAAAAAATAATTTATTAATGAAGTTTGAATCAATATACAAAAATTTCAAAAAGCAATTATAGTGAATCCTCATGAACCTGTGAGCTGCCTTTGTTTCAAATATTTCCCAGTCTTGTTTAATTCAACCTCTTGTCACTTTCTTTTTTCCTGAAAGTAGACTCAGAGAAAGGGTCATTGTTATTTAATCATGTGTTTTGTCAGCTACAGCATTTTCAATTGAAAAAGTCAAAATTTACCGTATCTTGTTGTTGTTCAACCTCAGGAAATGTAGTGCTTTCATTTCTTGTATCCCAGGTGGTATAGATTTTAAGTTATTGTGATCCAGAAACAGTTCTCGCAGAGAATGATATGCTCCATAGAATGAGACCCGGTCTACCCCGTCGTCAGTGAGTTTGTTAAATGACAGGTAGAGGTACTCCAGGCCTGGCTCCATGTGGCCCAACACAAAGCCAGGGATGCGCTCTATCTGGTTCCCGATGAGCACGAGGTGCAGCAGGGACTTGGGTAGATAGGAGGGAACATGGTAGAGCTTGTTGTAGGAGAGGTCAATTGACTCTAGATTTCTGTGGTAAAGAAAGAACATCAGCACAGTGATCTTGAGCTCTAGGCTTTCCTGCCAGCACTCGGTGTGACCTGAGCCAGGTTGTGCTTGTAGCTGTGCAGCTAATGACCCATGGCTCATACTGTTACCCGGCACCGCACTGGCCCTTAGCACTTCACACTCCAAGAAGAGGAGCATTCAAGTTCACAGAGAAAAACTCTTATCTGGGCATAATGGTGAGGCCAAGAGGACCCTGAATATTTTTTGAGTTAAACTGGAATCAATATGAAACACAGAAATCTTAGCTGACATCAGATTGCTTATCTCTAACATGACCTTTAGTTCTAGCAGGAATAGTAATGCTGTGGTGTATTTGCATTTTCATTCCATATTGGATCCGATGACCAATACACCTGGGGCAGAGTGGGGATCTAGAAAATGTGGTTAACTGGCCACCTGCTCTGAAAATTGTTGTGAGCCTCCTGGCTCATTTCAGGAGCCATCCTCACTCCACCACCTCCTGCTGAGCCCAGTTTGCCCTGAAGCCTCTGTCTCTGCTCTGTATCCCTGGCTCTGTCCCTGGACTCCTACTGCCATGTAAGGCCCCCATGCGCGCTCCTTCCCTGAGGATGACTCCAGGACATTGGATCTGCCTTTACCCCATCCATCAGCTGGGTAGTCTACAGTAGACTCCGTGAGACTTGTTATAAGTGGTTTAGATGACCGAGGACAGTGGTGTAGCACAGGGGACAAGGAGCACTTCCTTCCTCATTGTGTACAGGGGATCATCTCATTTAACTTGATGACCACCATGTAAGACCAACAGAGCTGATAATCAGCACTTAGCTCACAGTGCTCTGCTCAGATCTGGCTGACTAAGGACATGGCAATTTTGAGGCGTCCATGCAACAGTGACCCCAGTAATCCTAACTCCAGTCATACAATGAGGTACAGTAACCCCTCCACCTCCTCAGGCGTATGTTCCAAGACTTCTGGTGTATAGTACTCAACTCTCTGTGTAACACATTACTCCTCTACATACAGACTTATGATAATGTTTAAATTATAAATTAGATACAGTAAGAGATTAACACCAATATCTGTAGCAAAAGAAAGTAGTTATAACAACATGTTGTACTAAGTTATGAAAAATTGGTCTCTTTCCCAAAATATCTAATTGCACATAATATTTTTGGAGCATAACTGAATCCATGGAAATTGAAACCACTGATAAGGAGTTATTGCTGTAGCCAAGTTTTGACTTTACTGAAAAAGGAAGTTCTCATAAGTCCTTCAGAACCTTCAGCTTCCCTCAAATCACCATTTTTTGCCTGGTTTAATAATAGCCAAAAGAAAGAATCCCCTAAGAAAGGGGAAAATACATGTGTAACATATACTTACTCTTGATTTATCCAGGCTAAAGGAGCAATCCTGTTTTCTTCAATTTTATTATATCGTAATACAATGACATTGATATTTCTGGTACGATTAAAACAAAGTTCAGTTATTTCTTCAATTTGGTTATTTTCTAAGTATAATTCCTATAATTAAGAGAAAAGACTTATTTTTAATAGTTACTTGATAACTGATAAATGTATTCCATTACAGAGATTAAGATGGTGTTATAGACTATTCTCACTAGTGTTATCTAAAGAGCCTTATTGTTCTTCCATATCAGCTCATTTATTTAAGTTGTCAGACTTCCTAATTAGTATAATGAAATGCTGTCTGTCATGGTTATGGAATTTAATGAATTTTATTTAATTACTTTTAACCATAAAATATTGCAAGATACAGCATACTGTAATAATTATATAAAGCTTTATATATAAAAACTTACATAAATTAGCTCATTCAAACTTCAAAAATCCTAGAAGACATTAAGAAGTATCAGTTCCACATAGCAGTGGAGAGAGGAGTGGCGTGCCAAGGCCACGTGGTAGATACACAAGAAACTTGTCCCATTGCCCCTTGGCACCAGTCAGCATGCTTCCCACTTGTCCGTGCTGTTTGCAGTCTTTTCATTTTTGGCTCATAGTTTTTGGACTTCATAGTTTTGTAATTGATTTTAGTAAAGCTTATTTATAAGCCTTCATTTAACAACAGGGTGGAGTTTGCTAGAACTACTAATAAGTTTTTCAACAGCTAGTTGCCTTCAAATTAAATTCAGTTGGCATTAGAGGGAGTTTCTCACTAAAGCATCTTGGAATTCAGGAGAATTGGTATATATCTTTAGTGTAGCTCTCCATTCCAATTTTAATTTCCATTCTTTGCCATTTAACTTTGGCATTTGTTACAGATGGATAAACCAATTTTAGCTTTTTGTTTTTACCTTCATAGTATTTAGGAGGATGAATTAGATCATTGGTTCCCACATATGGTTGTATATTAAAACCACTTGTGAATTTTAAATGTAAATTCCAACCTCAGTGTACCTCAGAGCATACTCATCCATTGAAATTGGGGCTGATAGACAGCACCTTGGAAGGGTTCAGAGCACACACCCCTGCACCTTCAGGGTCTGGAAAAAGAATCCAGGAGTGGGAGCTTCATACTTGGGATGGAGCTATACTCCTTTTTTATTTTTGAGGAGTGTGTATGTATGCATTTTGTATTAAAAATTTAATTTTTTAAAGGTGTATTTATGCATATAGAACTGGGGTACAGGCCAGAGGTGCAGGGGCGGTGAGAGGCTTCACCAGAGACAGAATGGGGAGCAGAACAGGCAGATGGATGAAGTACACTGCTGAGGGGAGCAGCAGGTGGATCAGAAGAGGTCTGCCGCACCATGTGATCCCCTCCAGGGCAGGCGGGGATTGAACTCATGTGGAAGTGGCTTTAGATTCTTAGTGCTGGGCTTTAACCCACTGTGCCTCCAGGGAGGGCCCAAAAATTTTAATTTTTAAAGAAGTTAAATAATAAATTGCAGGCTTCACCCTCTAAAGAATCTGAGTTAACATCAGCCCAGGAATCTGTATTTCTTTAGATTTCAAACAGTCTAAACCAGGTATCGGAACTGATTAAGTTCTAAAGTTACATCTCAATCTGCAGATAGGAGGGAGAGGAAAGACAATGGCTGCGGCAGATGACTCTTTGGACTCATTCTGCCTTCTAGTTCTCGTGTGTGTGTGTGTGTGTGTGTGTGTGTGTGTGTGTGTACGCATGCACATGCACACATGTATCTAAGTTCCCATTGGGTCACATGTCCATGTTTCATGAAGTTGGGGCATTGCAGTCAACAATAGAGACCACTTAGAGTCCCTTCTGTGGTAAGCTTGTCCCTTGCTGCAACAAAGAAAACCCCACACCTAAGAGGTGGGAATAGACAGGTCAGTGTGGGAGCCCTTAGTAGGATGCAGTTGGAGTTGGTAGGCTGTGGGTCTCTGCAGATCTCTGCGAATGGGCCTGTCCATGCAAAATTCTTGCTAGTCCATTTGGCTACTCTGGGTGGAATCGTCTGGGGTAAGTGTCAGGGGGCCAGCTCGGATAACTTTGAACAATCTTGTAATCAGACTACTTTTTACAGGTTGTAGTTTCTGCTTAAATTCTAAACAGGAAGAAATTTCACTTTATCAGGGGTTTTTACTAGTAACTATAACTTTGATTCATAGTTTTGTATTTACTGAAGAGAAAGCAATTATCAAATTATGGTAACTACTGTACATAGCACTGAAACTATATTTAATGTTTCATAATCTTTTAAAATATTTTTTCTGTTGTATTTAAAACATAAAACAATAAAAGAAAAACATTGGTACCTCAATAGAATCAGGAAGACCCTGTGGTATAATTCTGAATTTATTTCTTCCCAGACGCAGGTAGGAGAGGCTCTTCAGGGGCTTGAAAGCTAATGGATTGACATTGATTTCACTGAGATTGTTCCCTTCCAGTTCTAAGGTGACCAACTGATTTAAGTCTATTACAAAAATAAAATTATTAGGACATTAGGATAAGTGAAAAAATTAAAAAAAAAACATGCAATTTCTATACTCTCAAAATGTCCTATGAGATGTTCAGTGTTTTTTGAAGACGCTGTAGTTTCTTTTTATATTCCCCTGTCTTGCCTTTTCCCAAACAATTTGCAAAATCCAAATGCTTCATAGCCAGGACCAAATGCTGCATGCATGGTCCAAAGAGTGTTGCATGTGGAAAGAAATTTGGGATGCTGTGTGATGAAAGTATGTACACAGAACAGAGAAGGGGAGTTATAAAAGGAGGAGAGTTGAGGTATAGAGGAGGAGTGAACAGGGAGGAAAGGACAAGGGGATTCAAGATAAGGGAGAGACAAAGGAGCCAGGAAGGAGGTGGAAAGGGGAGCAAAGGGTATGACAAATGGGTACAAAGGGGGAGAGGTCAGAGAAAGAGATTGGAGTGGAGGGGAAGGAGACGGAGAGTTAGGGAGCGGTAAAGAGGCAGCGATGCCAAGCAGGGACACGAGAAACAAAGCAAAAGGTTGATGAAGGTCACTCAGAGAAACAAAAGGTTGATGAAGGTCATTGGAGCTTTTTACAGGACAGCTAGTGTGCAATGGCAGCATGATGGTGGCAGGTAGGATTGGCTATAAGGAGTGCTTCCCTTTCCAGGGCTCTGCCCAGCAAGCCCTCAGCCTCGGAACAGGGAGTTGCAGCAGTGGGACAGAGTGTGAATTCCCATCGTAGTTATTCATTTCCTGGCAGAGAATGCAGCCAAAAGTACATTTTGAAAGGAGACAAGTCAAACATTCTCCACATTCAGATTGAGCTACCAAGGAAGGACTTTATACAAACAAGTTTTTTTCTAAATTATTTCAACTGACCTCAAGAGTGATATGATCCAAATTGATTAGAAGTTTTAAAAAGGAGAATGGACAGCTCAGTGACAACGGTGCCCAGAAGTGTGTGAGTCAAAATTCAGGGTGTAACTCTGGATTTTGTTCAGTGGCCAAGATTTCCAGGACATGGGTTGTTTTCATATTGAACTCATGTTGTGGGCATTATACCGAATGCTTGGTGCTTGTCAGTTCTTAGGCTTGGGCATATCAGAGGGGCAAAGCATAGTATAAGCAAGGGGAATCCAGATAAATGCTAGGAGATGGCAGTGCAGTTGTGAGTGGTCTAGAAGTACATTGGAGTCAGGCTGTCAAGGATAAAAAGATACAGGTGGAAATGGAGCTGAGCAGCAGGGTGTACACCTGTGCGTGTGTTTAGGGTTCCTGGGTGAAGGTTGCTGGTGGCAGAGGAAGACGGTGCAGGGTCTTTGCCCTTCTCTGCATGGCGGGGTCAACACGAAAGGTTAAACTGGTGGATGTGGTTAGGATTGGTTGAAGAGTCATGAGACAAAGTTGGGAGGTGAATCAGTAAGCTATGATGAGTGGTTATATTTCTGAATTTCTCTTTAATATTGAAACCTAAGAATGCTGAGAATCCAGCATATTTATCTAGTATATCATATAGTTGAGGTTTTGGAATTTTCTGATGACAGGTAATATAGACTAAAGGCCATTACACGATTTCATAAGCAAGAAAGAAACAACATACAATGCACAAATTTTGGGGGGTTGAGGGGAGGAGGTAACATGACATGTCATGAATGTGAATGGACATGCATGATGACACAACCTAGAGGCATTACCAGTGGCCAATAGCACACCACCTTTTCTAGAGGTCCACAGTGGTCAACAGCGAAGGCAGAAAACGCCTGCCCATCTTTTTTTCCTGCTGACACTTCTTTTTGTATGCACCGCCTCCTCCCTTTCTTAGTGGGGTGCAGACCTTTCAGTGGGTCCTGTGTACACTCCCTGTACCTGACAGGGCGCATGCAGCCCTGCACTGTCTTATTCTACCTGTATCTTGCTTCTCACCCTCAGATGTACAGGCACACATGCTATTTCTCCTGAGTGCCCTGCCTCCCCACTTCTCTAAAAGAGCATGAGTGATAGTCACAAGAGAGAGGTCACAAGAGCAACAGCCTCTGATGGTCAGGTCAGGATTTCTACCCAGGAAAAGAGCAGTGTCACAGCACCAGGGGTGGCCTATGCTTAGGCCCACCACCCTGCTCCCTGACAGTCAGCCTAACTGGCCACATCCATAGGACTCAGGAATTGAGAGCTCCAATGACTGCAACAGTCACAAGAAAACTCAATTCCAAGAGCATGCACAGGAATGGGCCTAAGAGCCCAGGATCCTAAGGCTTAACTGGGACTATGAACTTGGCATTCAAGGGACCAACATTAGATCAGAACTAGGAACCCAGCACACAAGTAACTAGCGCAGGAATGGAACCAATAGCCCACTCAAATGGAACAGGAGCCCTCAGTGTAAAGAGTGCAGGAACAATCTGTTGGAGATGATGACTGATAACTTCCTCACTAGCCATATGGGGCCAAGACCTCCAGAGTTGACTCTTTGGGAATATAGAAGTAAGAGAAGAGTACAGAAAAGCAGTTGTGAGCACTTTCCAAATTAGGACTTCTATTTTATAACATATGATCTCACAGGAGTTCACATGTAGCCATTAGTATGTTCTTCTAAAATGAGTTTTCCTTTGGTGTCTATTTCACCTAGCATTTAGAACTCAATTTAGAATTTCCTATGCCTTTCCATATGAAAAACACATCAAAATTTGTGTTCATTAATGGTTTTCATGTGCACTGTGAAACCCATCTGGAAATAAAGTCTTTCCATAACTCTGTAATCCTCAGATTTGGCAAATCTCATTATTATTGTTTTTTTCCTGCACCAGAAGAACTTTGTTCCAATGAAGTTTTGGGGAATAAAGAGAAAGAATTGAATTGTTTTATTCCTTAAAAGCTTGGTTATCCAACATTACCACAGTAAATATACTTCAAATCCAATAATGTGTTGGGCCCAATACCTCAAGAGCTTTACTAGACAAAGTTGACAGCTGTTGTTTTGAAGAAGCACATAACCTAATCATAGACTTTAGCTAGAATTCATGAAAAGCTAAATGTAACACTGTTTCTTCTTATTCACATTGTGATGACTCAGTTATTCAGCTTGGTCCAGAAATGACCCTGGTTTCCAACCATACACAGCAAGAAGGGGGCAGCCTGCCTGAGGCCTGTCCCTTGGTTGGCTAAGCTGTCCATCTTGCCTGGAGGGCACATGTCCCTCATGGATACATGAAGGCTAGAAAGCCAAAGCAGCCCTCATATTCAAGACTACCTCAGAGTTCATGTGTCAACAGTCAGTCACACACTGACATACGTAGCAACTGACCCATACTTTATACGTAACACTCCTGTGCAGGCACATGACAAGTTAAAATAGCAAAATGTGTGGAGGTGACACTAGTTGTGGGTGGGTGTGCTGAGCACAAAGTAGTGAGAAAGGGGACTAAGCAGCAAGCCAGGTGCTGTGTTGCCATTATTGTCAGCTACTAAAATAGCCAGTTACATGGTTGATTCTTATTTAGTAGTTCCATTAGTAGTTCAGTTACAGCATTGTAAATGATAAGTACCTAAATCATTGCAAGTTTCTGTAAGTGTGTTCTAAGATGTCCACACCAGACAAAATCACGTAACAACAAATCTCTCAAAACACATCTCTGTTGTTAAGAACACATGACTATGGGGTACTTTGTAAAAGACAGTGCATTTAAAATACGTATTTTAAAAGTTACATCAGTGATTAGTTCAAATAAATTTCCCATTATAAATGGTAACTGACCTAAAAAGCATTACTGAGTGCCTGGCAGCACTGCAAATAAAATAGCTATCCAACTACAGAAGAAAGGTTATGGGAGGACAGATCTCAAAACCAAGTGTTAAATACCTGATAAACTGTCTTCATCCAGAGCCTGAAGGTTGTTCTCATTGATTTTAAGTTCTTCTAATGTAGAAGGTAATCCTGAAGGAATCTCAACCAGATTGTTTCCATCCAAATTCAAGCGCATTAACTTCTTCAGAAGCTTCAAAAGAACATTTTAAAATCATTTTTTCGGTCTGCTCACTGATGTACAATACGACATCTGATTTATTTGTTGGTTTGAAGTATCACTAATATCTCAGAAACCTGCCCTATTTGCTCAAACCTTCCTGTCAAATAGATACAAGTCCTGTTAATAGTGCTTATTTCCAGGCATTTTCATCAAACCAGTCAGTGGCTTAGTGTCTCATTCACCTGTCTTTATATGGTGGCTTTTGTAAGCAGGAAAAAGTTCCCATCACCACTGCGTTGTTCATATTTTGCTAGATCTTATGTTTTCATCTTCTCAGCAACAGACACAAAGTTAGTTAGATCATGCAGTGATCTCACTTTGTCATGGATACGAACAATTGAAACAGTAATTTGAATTCTTTCAAATTAGTGTAAATCTCGCTGTTCTATGTACACTAAGTAGAACGATCATAAAATGGCATTATTTATTGTAGAAATTATTCAGAATTAAATGCAACAACTGTTACAAGCTATTTCTACATGGTCCCCATTTTTGACTGCCTACAAATGTGCACCTTCATTGCCCCATCAGGCCTGCATGACCAGTGAAGTGATTCACCCCAGCAGTGCTCACAGTCTGGTGCCAACAGTATGGGGGTCGAATAGAACCCCCCCAAACAAAATGAGGAGCAGGTTTCTGATAGTGCCTTCCAACTCCAGGAATCCCAGCTGTTCTGCCAGCAGGGTGATTAGCATGGGGCAGGCACCCTGAGGATGTGATAAGAGAAACAGGACATTAGGTGCCTGGAACTCTTATCTGCTGCCCCAGAATTGGAATGGGAAACCAGTTTGTATATTTCTCCATACTTTCCCATTGGTGTTTCCAAGTCCCTGGAACCAGAAACTAAACATAGGAGAGACTAGTGGTTAGTCCAAAGAGTGGACAGAAGACCATCCAAAGTGATAGTTAGGCCCAGTGGTGGTATGTTTACTTAAGGATTGTTATGGTAAATACATTGATATGTTTTGTTTATGCACAAAACCTTTTCCTGTTTCTCCCTTTGTTTCTCTGAGATGTCTTGATTTTTCTCTTCTTTTTTTCCTTTAAAAAAAATACTTCAGTCAATCCGGAATACTAATGGTTTAGTCTATGTTTTCTCCCTCAACCTATCCCCATGTTAACTAAGCACGGTTGTTTTTTCATCTGCTAAGGTTCCTTTATCAGATTTTGCCTACAGTACAAAATAAAGAAGCTCTGTCTGAACATGTTAATACAGTTTCCAGATAAGCTGTCCTCTATTCCCAGAAGTACCTCAGGTATTGCAGAGACCATATTTCAAAATGTTTTCAGATACTTGCGGGGGGGAGGGGAACTACTTTACAAATCTAAACATTAAGCATTAATTTTGTCATTGATGGTGTGCTGCCCTGAGGGTGAAGCATAGGAAAACCAGCCAGAAACAATGAAACAATGAGCTTGATTTGACCAAATCTTGAAAACAGTTTTGAAACGTCAGAGAGGAAACTCTTAATTTGGGAGAGAACTGTAAGTTGAACTGTAAGTTTCCTCCCTTCCCCACCCTCTGCCAGTATAAGCATAGGAAGACTGTCCAAGTAGATTATTACTCAAAGCTAGTGTATGTGCTTACCTTGAAGGCTTTGGGACCTATGCCTGAAGAACTGATATTATTTCTGCTTAGATCAAGCCTTTCCAAATTGGGTAATCCATTAAATGCTTCATCCGGAATGGAGATGATGGAGTTATCTAGGACAGGAATTGTTTTAGGCTTATGTTCACATACACATGTGTGAGTGGATATGTATACATACATGGACATGTGTAGTTGCCTTGATAGCAAATGAGTGTAATTTAGAAAACAATACTCATAACAAGAACATAGTATATATGATAGAAGCAAATGCAAGCTTAGAAAAATAAGACTGGTCCTAATATAGTGAAAATTCTTGCTCTAAGGACTAGGTAAGGACTAGTTTTAGTTGAAACTCTTAAAACAGCCAGAATGTGGTTTGCTAGGCAATCTGTAGCATCGTATATATTACAACAAAGATGTTTTCCTGGAAGGTTATATAGAAACCAGATTTTATATTTCTTCATACTTTCCCATTGATGTATTCTGAGACCGTGTACCAGAAATGTGATACTAATTTTGTTGATGAAATCCTGGGCATATCACTTACCTACTCTAGACATCAGTTGCCTTCTCTAAATAAGAAATGGGGGGAAAGATTTCTGAAATCACCTCCAGATCCAGTGCTATACTTCTGTGACTTCAATTTATGGAAGTTCTGTGTGCTGTAAATTTATGGGGCTTTGTTTGACATTTAGTTGATGACTTTACATCTAGAAAGCTAGCAAACCAGAAATAGTGCTATAAAAACCACTGTGACCTTCCTATGAAACTGGTGTAATGTTTCTGAGCAGGTAATCCATCTTTTATGAGATTCTAGGCTTCCAAAAATCAGACAGGAATGGAATACCTCAGGTGGTTTGCGTCAGAAAGACTGAGCACTGCTGGTTAGATTGGCCATCCTGAGCGAAAGTATCAGACTGGCTCTACCAGTATTAGTTTACATGGTTATTTATTATATTATTTCTATGGCAATTTCTTTGGTTTCCCCCAAGTCACGTCTGGGACCCCAATCAGATTCTCACAGCTTTGAGGGGCCCCCAGTATGGACCTCTGTTGCCCAGACACAGACCCAGGCTCATCCACTTACTGTTTCCCTGCCAGCCAGTCTCACACTGGCTCTGGTTATGCCATTCCTATACTCTACACCCTTCCAAGTGGCCCTATATAACATTCTCAAAAGATCTGAGCCACTCCAGGCCCACAAGAATAACTAAAACAAATGGCAGGACTGGAACAGTATGAATTCTGACATTTCTGACAGGAATGTCACAGCCACTTTTAGGCTACTGTTCAGTAGTTTCTTATAAAATTAAACGTGCATTTACTGTATTCCTCAGCAGTGCAACCCCAGGTTAGGTATCCTAGAGAAAAAGAAACTTAGTCCAATATGAATATCTCTGTGTGGATGTTTATAGCAATGGTATGAATAATTGCCCTGAAATGGAAATAACCCAGATGTCCTTCAGCTGGTACCTGTATTCTATCCAAAAGATGGAACACTCAAAAGTATGGAGGAGCAGGCTGCTGGTAAATGCAACAGCCACGATGGCCTCACAAACACTGTTGATAAATGAAAGCCACCCAAAAAGGCCACACATCATGGGGGTTTGTTTCTGTGACATACTGGGAATGGCCCACATTTGACACAATAAAGCTTATAAGGGGCACCCAGGAGGTGATGGAAATATATTAGACCTTGATTGGGGTAGTGGTTACATGACTATATGCATTATAACACATCACAATAAGTTTTACTGTATATAAATATGCCTTCAGCAAAGCTGATCTTAAGGGAAAAGTCAGTGGAAAATCATGATTTTATTTGGAGGGATTTGTTTTATACCTACCTATGCTATTTGGCAGTAAATAATATCTTCTGCTAAGTGTGTTTGTATTTTAAAAAATGTATAAACTAATCCGTATGGGGTCAGTTTATATTATAAAATTAATACCATTCCTAAGGCAATGAGACCCATTTCCTCTTAAAACTCAAAACAAAACACCAGTATATCTTACCAATGAGCTCCAGGCTTGTTATCTCTGACGCGGTTAGTGGTGGTATCTGTGTGAGGTCAGTGCTGATACAGCTGATGGTCCTGTAGGACAGAGCGCACCTGCTGGGCAGGGTGGGTTGGCCTCTAGTAGGAGGAGCAGGAATGGGGGGTCGTGAGGGCATTCTGAAGGCATCTCCTCTGACATCGTCCTCCTCATCTTGCTCATCCTCCTCGGCCGCATTCTCCTCATCTTCCTCATCCTCCTTCCTGGCTGGGTTTCCAAGCCGGAGCACCTGATTGCCCTCCTCTCCAGGCCTCTTTGTTTCCCCTTCTTTGCTTTGCCCCTCATTGGGAAGTCTACCCTGATTTTTAGGTCCAGAGCTCTTTTTATTTTTCTTCCTTTTTTCATCTTCTTTTGTTTCATCTTCATTCTCCTCAAATTGAAACTCTTCTTTACTCAGTGCTTGGTTTGTTTCCACTTGAGGAGACGGCAACCGCTTGTGAAGTGAATCGACAGGTTCTCTTTGTTCTGAAGAATCACCAGAAAATTCAGTTCTATCATTTAATTCTATGCCAGTGAGTAGCAAGTAGGAGGCTAATGACCACACAAGGAGGAGACAGCAGGAGCAAGTTGTAATATTAATAAAAGGAAAAATCATAGTAAGAATGAGGTTAGTAAATATTATTCCCTCCAAGTATTTAAATGTAGTTTAAACGTGATAGGCATCCTGAAATTTTTGCCTGAATCATTTTAATGTCTTTATTTTTATTAATACAAAACTTCCTATTTTGTAAGATCTGTTGTAGATAATTCTTGTCTTGTGTGTGGGCCTTAATATTTACTTTTGCTAGAGTATCATGCTACCTGGTGACTAAAGAGGGAATAATATTGCCAAATGATGCAAAACAGTAAGCAGTCCTGTTGTGAGAGCGCAGGGTAATCAGATGTGATGCCTTTATAACAGATACTCTTCAGTAGGAATTTGTATATCTTCAAAAAAAAAATTGAAACATGTTTTACTTACTGTGATACTGACTTGTTTAGAGATTTTTTTTGGGGGGGGTCAGGTTTTCTTTTAGCTCCATGAGTCTAAAAACATCATCTGAAATTTAGAATTATCAAAAGTTCTCCTTTTCCTGCCCAGACTCTCTTACTCACATAATTTTTCCTGCTTGAGACTTATAAAACATGCATGGCCTTAAGTCAGGAAGAGTATTTATTAGGATTCCATGATGCAACATAGATATCAGTAGAAAATTTATCTGTATTCATATTTAGCTGTTATTGTGCTTGGCAGAAATGGCAAAAACACAGCAGACGCTGGACTTCAGACTTTACTTAATCATCTCCCTGCTTTTATCTAATTCTATACTTAAGTTTATCCCCTGAGAAGATTCAAAAGATAAAAATTTTTGAAGGAATTACTTTAGCTTCCAATTAAGTATATATTATAAAGTCTGTGAGATTATTCTTTCCACATCTGGCAGAACATGTAATAGAAGAATAGGAAAAAATTAGTAAAAGGAAACTAAAGCTATCATATTGAAACAGTTAAAAGTCTTCCTGTATATCCAAGTTTATTTTTCCAAAATAGCCACAATGTTTCAAGAAAATTACAAGTTGTTTCAAAGTCTGAGAACTTTGAATCTTGTACTTCTCCCCCAAGGAGTCAGTTTCATTAAACTCTTCTGTTTTCCATGTTTTTTCAAGGCATACTATTTTAGAGAAATATTGATAGTCTATAATTCTAAGTATTCTAAAGTTCCTTCAGGACACTTTGGTAGACACCTAGCCTACATCAACCTGTGTGCATGATCATAGACAGAAAAACTATCTCTACCCTTCACTCAGTATCTTTCCTGCACACACTGTGCCCCAGAGAAAGCTTCCTCTCAGACCCACACCCTCATTCCTAAGATTCTTGAGCAACAATAACCAACACAACTGAGAATGAACCTGTGCTCTCTTCAGATGCAGACACTCCTCCCTTTCTTTACCACCAGTTCTTTGACTTCACTTGGAATGATAATTAAACCCACAGTGAGCTGGATTAATTGAGATGGTACATGTAAGGAGTTAAGCAGGGCTCTTCACACTAACATGAGCTGCATCAGATGTATCACACTAACATGAGCTGCATCAGATGTATCACCTCAAGAGCTGGGCATCAGATGTGGGATGTCACCTGAGCCAAGTGTACTCAGTCTAACAACGCCAGGATAAAGCTAGGGTATTTAATTTCTCTTACCTACCATACACTTTCCCAAATAATTTTATCATTGTGCCAATATTTAAAATCCCCTGATGACTAATTTATCATAATTTAACACTTAAGATAGTGACAAATAAAAACCAACACAAGGTCAAGACTGAATCACATGTGGTTTTGTTTTGGCTAAATCTGCCTACCAGAATCAGAGCAGACAGGGCAGCATTCTCCATCAGGTGTGACCGTCTGGGGGCATGTTTGACGGGGGCACGTGACCTCATCACAGAGCACGCGTCCATCCAAGCAGAGGCAGGTAATACAGGGCTCAGGAGACCAAACGGCTCTGTTGTACATGGTCATCCCATTTGCCATACAACGTCCCTTCTTTCCTAGAAGAGAATAATAATACATTCTATATGCAGTTACCAGAAACTGTGACTAGAAGTGAGCACACTGAAATCAAGTAGATGAGCATCATAGGAATAGCATCTCATGTGTTCATAGAAGAAGCAGTATAGCAGTAACTCCCTGACACAATCTCTGCTATCTCAGCCCATTGCTTGGGCCCTGAGAGAGCCTTCCTCCTGGTAGTTTGACTCTGGAATCCTAATTAGGGTGGTTGTTAGGTTCAAGTTACACAACAAATAATCCCAAATATGTCATTGTTTATTGATATCGTGTGTCCAACATGGGCACCAGGGACTCTACATTATAGTTATTCAATGACAAACAGAAGAATTCCTCTCTAAACAGTCTACCCAGATCACCGCAGCCATAAACCTATGAGGTGAAAATCTCACACTGTGTATGAGGAGGGTGAGGGCACATGGCATGCTTGTATTATGCTTTCATGTTGAATTGAAATTCTGAGGTTGCATCCATCATTCTTTCTAGAATTTTTGTGTTATTGAAATACAATTCATATAACAGTTTTCACACATTCAAAATGCAAAATACAGTGGTTTTTAATATCGTCATTTCTCTACATAAAGGGCTGTAGATAACTGAATGTATCAGCTAAGCAAGCTGTTAGACAACTGATTTGAATATTAGTTGAATTGTTTTCCTTCTAACCTTAGTGTCATTCCTGATAACTCCATTTCATCTGATAAGCTACAGCCCCCAAATTCCACCCCCAAATGAGTTCTCACATTTGTCCCCATCCTTCTCTCACCACTCTATGCCCATTTCACACCATACCCATCCATACCCATCTCTTATATGAATAAGAGATGGGTATGGTAAACTAATCCCATCCACCCAGTCCATCCCCCAGAAGACAAAATAGATACATGAGTTCTCTCTGATTGTAAGGGTGCCATTCTCTGTCAGAATTCCAGTGGCCTTTTTTGTAGAAACTGAAAAGTTGCTCCTCAAATTTGCATGCACTCTCGTGGAAGCCCCCTCGAATAACCAAATAATTTCAGGGGAGGATGCAGAAAAAGAACAAAATTGAACAGTTCACTTCAGATCTTACTACAAAGCTATGATTACTAGCTTATGCCAGGTACAGTAGTACTGAGGTAAAGATAGATCATGTTAAACAATGAGATATTTGGAGTCTAGAAATAAACCTATAATATAATAAATGCAAATGGATTTTTTACAAGAGCACAAGAACATTCAACAGTGGAGTAAATAGTCTTGTACTTTTCAAGGAAATACAAAAAAAAAAAACTAAAATTTATAAAGAACCATGGAAGCAAAAGTGTTTCTAAGAGAAAGAAATGGAGTCATTGTTTTACCTGATTTTAAACTGTATTATAAGGCAACAGTAATTAAAAGAATATGCTATTGGAATAAATATAGACACACAATTGGACAGAATCGAAAAGCCCAGAAATATATGCATACTTGTATCAATACCTAGTTTGTGAAAAAGAAGATATAATCTTACAGTGGAGAAAAGAAAAGACTTTAACAAGTTGTGATGGGTAAACTGGACATACTCAATTAAAGATTGAAGTGTGACCTCTCTAAATTTCATGTACAAAAATAAATTTAAATGAATTTAAAACTCAGATCCCAACCAAAAAAATCATAGACATAGAAGAAAGCATTGTCAATAAGTTTTGTGACATCAATGCTAGGGAGGACTTTGGAACTCCACCCCTGGGGCAAGGGAAATACACATAAGTGTAAACTAGCAGGGGCTACCTCAAATGAAGAAGCTTTTACAAAGCAAAAGTATTAGAAGATCAAAAAGGCATCCTATTGAAAGAGAGAAGATATTCATACATCACAAGCCAACAAAAGGTTAGTACTGGAGGTATACAAAGAACTCATTCAGCTTAACCGAATAACAATTCAATTTAAAAAATGGGCATCAGTTCTTAATAGACATTTTACCAAGATGTATATACAAAGGCCAACAGATATGAAAAGATACTCATCACTTTTAATAAGGGATATAAATGCAAGTGAAAACCACAGTGTGATAATCATCACACACCTGTGAGAATGGCATACATCAAAAAGACCTCCAATGACACATGCTGGAGAGGATGTGGAAAAAGGAGCAATATTGCTAGTGAAAATGTAAATTGATGTAGTCACTTTTTGTTATTGTTGTTTTTATTTAAGAAGGAAATTTTCTCTCTAATGGGTCCGGACTCACCCTGTCAGTAGAACTTACTTATTTAAACAATCCATATTTAAAAGCACCCTGAGCTAAAATTTCCAACGAAATATCCTGAGGGGGAGGCAATGTTGGGTCAACTGGTTGGGTGTTTGGGGCCCAGAGATAAGGGTTCCTCACTGAAACATTTTTCTCAACCAAGTGGCAACCCTGACCTACTTCCTGGCCCAAACATCCCTGATTCTCACTCATTCTCAGGTCTGCTGGGGAGAAGTCATCTCAGTTTCAGCCCATTGTCCTTGTGTCCGTGTGATGGGAAGGAGGTGGTCACTCCTCCTGTGCCTGGTCACTCTATCCCATTTGGTGTAACTGTTTAACTTGGGCTACAGTGCCTTGGGTCTAACTCTGAGCCATCCTTCTGTTTTCCATAAATTCTTTCCTATGTCTTGAGTTGGGCCTATGGGGGCTTGAGGGAAACGTGCAGTGATGATGACAATATGAACTTTGGAGTGAGGAATTTCAGGTGAGCAATCTTAATAGAAGTGCAGCCATTTTGGAAAAGAATCTGAACTTATCTTAGAAAATTAAAAATGGAAATATATGAACCAGCAACTCCACTTTGTGCATCTATACAAAAACAAAAATTATCAACTCAAAAAATTATGTCTCCACAATGTTTGTTGCACCCTTATTTATCATAGGTAAAATTCTGAAGCAGTAATAAAATATTGAATAAAGAAGATGTGGTATGATTCCACATTAGGATACTATTCAGAAAGTAGAAGTTAACCATTTACAAACAAATGGAAACAATTTTAAGCATTCTTAAAAGCAGAATAAGCCAGAAGGATTAAGGACATATTGAACAATTTAACATATAAGAGTAATATAAGGAAATAAAGTGAATGACCTTACCAAGCATAATCATAAATTAGCTGAGTGATAAATGAACTGAAGTTTCTGAGTTTAAGGTTAGGGTGCAGGGAGAGAGAGAAAGGACCAGAAGGGTTTATAAGTGGTGGGTGAAAATCTATACTGGTGTGTTCAAGTGTTGTGCAAGCAAAAAACAGAACCAAACAACAACAAAAGAGAGAGAGATAGAGACACAAAACAACAGGGAAATACCCTGAAGCTGAATGCAGTTCTGAATGAATGTGGTGCAGGAAGACAACAGGGAGGTAAAAGTTAAAAGTGGCAGTAGCTGGATTATAAAGATGGGTAGGGCATTGTTGATATGGAAAAATAATGTTTGACGTACTCTCCTGCGTCACAGAATTTTTGGTGAGAATAAGGTGTTCACTTGAAAATACCCACAATTTTGTTGTGCTTTCATTTCCTTGGAGATTGGAGCTTGTCTTGGGAGGAGGATTGGTGACAAAGGGCTCTTATTCTGTGCTGATGTTTGTCAATGACTCAAGATAAGATTATAAGATATAAAAAATGATACAACCCAAAAAAAATGACAAAAAACATATGGGTAGCCACTTAAGTAGAGAGAAAAATGAAAGCTATTAATGAACTTAAAATAAAATTCACTGCCGGCCCTCCCTGGTGGCGCAGCAGGTTAAAGCACTGCACTAAGAAGCTTAAGCCACTTCCGCATGAGTTTGATCCCCGCCTAATCCCCGCCCCGGAGGAGACCACATGGCGTGGCAGACCTCTCCTGGCCCGCCCGCTGCTCCCCTCAGTAGTGTACTTCACGATCTGCCTGTTCTGCTCCCCACTCTGTCCCTGGTGAATCCTCTCACCCTCCACATCTCTGGCCTTGTATCCCAGTTCTGTATGAATAAATAAATAAATCTTTTAAAATAAAATAAAATTCACTGCCTTTGCTATACAAAATCATCTAAATAACTTAGTTCTATATTCTCAGTGATAAATATAAACACAGTTAACATATATATATATTCTATAATCACAATTATGTGATATAGTGCTACATAGCATAATAAAAGACTGGAAATAAGTCAAAATAGTAACTGATTTTATAAGTATAGTTGTAGGAAACTCATTTTTTTCTAACTTTGAATAATTTTGTATTTTAAACATATTCTGTAAATGATTTAAAAATTTTTTTCATAATTATCTTTGTATATTAAGCCAAAAAATAATAGAACTTAAATTTTGGGGGGAAAGCAGGGGAGGAATTATCTTCATGAAGGTGTTCTTTCATACTGTTTTCTTACCTGGTAACACATTGTAGCTTGATTCTACTCCAAGAACACTTGAAAAAGATTCAAATTTATCCTCCATGCTATAATCCAGGTTAACCGTGGCAAGTGTGGCTGAGGGAGTGGCCATCGTAGTCTGCCAAGTTCTGAGCTGACTGCTAGACCCTTGGTTCAACTTGGAGTTTTTCCTCAGTCTTCTATAATGCATCTTCTTTCTTTGCTTCCTAGGGGTTTCTTCATTTTGGCCTAAGTTAGTTTGACAAACGATAAGCACAAGAAAACAGAACAGTCCTGCCAACTTCATGCTTGCTTTTCAACAAAAATCCAGTTCCTATAGTGGGAATGAAGCAGAGTTTTGCCATTAGTGGTGACTAAGTTTTACATTTGAATATTAACTTATAGTTGCTATATATATTGTGAGGGGAACTTTGTTGCCGCTTTGTGGTGGAAACACGATGAGGGGCACAGCAGTTGTGGAACAGGTTTGAAAGGCAAGAATCTGCTACTTGAGCAGAAGTTCTTTTTTTGTTTTGTTTGTTTGTTTTTTTAAGATTTATTTATTTATTCATACAGAACTGGTGTACAGGCCAGAGATGCGGAGGGTGAGAGGCTTCACCAGAGACAGAGTGGGGAGCAGGACAGGCAGATCGACGAAGTACACTGCTGAGGGGAGCAGTGGGCGGGTCAGGAGAGGTCTGCCACGCCATGTGGATCTCCTCCCGGGCAGGCGGGGATCGAACTCATGCGGAAGTGGCTTAAGCCTCTCAGTGCAGTGCTCCAACCCGCTGCGCCACCAGGGAGGGCCGAGCAGAAGTTCTTATACCATTTATTGAAAGCACACAGGATAGTAAAAGCTGGTCATGCGACAATGGTGTAAGGAATAGGGTCCGGAAGTGGGATAGGAATGGGGGACAAAGCTTTACAAGGGCAAGGGAATAGCTTGACAATGTGTCAAGAGACATTTGCATCAGCAAAGTATGATGTTATCACAGGCAGAGTTATCCTAAGACCATCATGGAGATAGTTACATTATCAAGTCAACAGTGGCCTTGGAGTCCTGGGGCCTGCCTTGTGATACAAGCTACAAGTCAAGGAACGTTCTTCTATAATTTGTAGATGGCAAATAGGTCACAGTTGCCCATGAGTGGCCAGCTCATGAGAACCCACAGCTGTATACCTGAGCTCATTCCTTGTGAAATAACACAATGTATGGACTGTATGCTGGAATATAATTCAAGCCAGGGTTTAGAATTTTTCTGTCAGAATCAGAACATTTAATATCTTTGTCTCTGGATCATGTATGAATAGGCTTTTCAATCTAAATGATGGTAGTAAATAGTATGGACTTCATAGCCATTGTGTTCTCTGTTGTAACTAATTCTCTTGGCTGTTGTCACAACCATAGATAATAGGCATGCAAGTGGTCTAGCTGTGTGCCAGTAAAACTACAAAAACAGGTGGAGGATTGGATGTGGCCCCTGGCTGTAATTTGCTGACCTACTCTGGGCACTGTGTTGTAGGTCTGCAGAGGTTACTCAGGAAATTCCTCTCCACCTATCTGCCAGGGTGTTCTTTTATGAACATCATCTGCAACAACTTTACAACTCTTTTAGGCGGTTCTTTTATTCTCTGGCTTTATTACTATATCAGGAAGAAGGGCCATGATTGTACCATATAAAAGAGCAGAAAACTAACATTAGTTATGAACAGATAAAAGATAAAGAGTAAATCTTAGTCAACTGGTCTGAGTGCACATGATAAACCTGAAAGACACATTTGAGAGATGAATAGGTGCTCTTGATGATAAAGACTACATGACAGTAGCAGTCACAAGGGCTAGTGCAGGCTCTGTAGATTGGGTAGCAGGGAGAAATGAAAAGAAAGCTTCCACATAGTAATGTTGGGCTGACGAAAGGGTTCACCTAGTCATGTGATCTGGCCCCAGAAGTATTCCTACAAGGAAGGCTATGCAGCCAGCAGCCTCCATTTCCTTCTAACTTAGAACCCAGCCTTCCCTTTGCTCACTTCCATCCCTGACAGTTCTTTCTGAAATGAAAACCCCTTTCCACACAACCATGGTATACATGCGGATAATCTGAAACCCCAGGGATCCCAAGGTTACAATGACTGCCTTTTTCACTTCACACAGGCCTACCTTGACCACTCTGTGAACCAAAGCAAAAACAATTTTATCATTTAGGAAATGTTTACCTGGTTCATAATGGACAGAAATAGAAAGTCCAAGGTGATGTCTATACAGAAATTAAAACTCCAAACTGCAAAAGAGGGGCTTTGAAAGGGACAAAGGTACAGAAAGTGGCCACAGACTCTATCAACCCCATCTTGCTGGAACCTCAGGAGATAATCAACATTTAATTTCAACCTTTCTATACAAAGTAACTATATAGGTCTGCTTCAAAAGCTGTTGGCGGACTACAGGGAATCCCAAGTCATCTGGATGGAAAGCCATAGACTCTGGTAAAGCATACCTTTCTGTCACACAAATGTTTAGTGAGTGCAGTGGTCACTCTATATACTGTGATCCCAGTGGGACCTTACAAAGTTGTAGCAAATTCAAGGTTGCCACAGATTCTTTGCCAAGGTACAAATGTCACTAACCACCTGTGTTTTGACATTCTGACATGTGGGACATCAGCTGAAAGCCAAGAATGTACACACTCTTCATGGGGCTCATAGCCCTGGATTGCCACATTCTGCCACTGGGCAAGCTTATACCAGCGTGACTCCTGAAATAGTGATTCCTAGAGAAACTGGGCATTCGTTTGTGGTCACTGCCTAGAGAAGCAGACAGCCATTACCATCAGACTTGTCACATCTGACTTCTGGTTTCAACCAAGCTCTCCATCTGACCTGAAACAGCTTAATCTGAGGACAAAGTACATGAAACATTTTTCATACATCAGACATTGAACAGCACAGGACAGTGATCTCCAAGACCAGAATCTTAGCAGAGCCCTGTGATTAGTCCTGTTTACTTCATGGAGGGCATTCCTTCCCTGCTGCAGCCCAGGAAGTGGACCCAGCAGAACACCACAGACTAACTCCCTGAGTTGAAAGCAGAACTGGAAGTCTAGGAACATCAAAGAAGTGAAAGTTTGCAGAGTAGAGTAAAAAGAACTGAGAGATATCCCAAAAAAGCCTTCCAGAGACCATAAATCTTCAACTAAGTATGATTATCATATTTGTGTGAATTAACTTCTCAAAACTATAGAAAGAGCAGAAACAGAGAGAATGACCTCTGTGACTTGAAAAAGACAGCACAGTGGGTGTTCCCAGTCAGAGTAGAAAACGTGAATTTCATGGTGTCAGACAGGGTGCTAAGTGAGTACTGGCACAGCAGAGACAACTCTAGATTGTCATAGCAGCTGCTCTGACCTTGTTAAACAAAAATTCACAACAAGTTTTTGAGAGGATCAGACTGCATGCAATAACTAAACCATGTCCCAGAGCACCCAGCAAGTGCTTGGGAATCCAACAAAAATTCACAGGTATGCAAACAAGCAAGTAGGTTTGAATCCTAATGGTGGGAAAAATTAACCTGTTGAAATAATACAGCTGAAATAGTGACTAAATGGATCATTAAAAACTAAAATTATATCCCAAATGTTCAAGAAGGTAGAGAAAAGATATTTAAAGAGATCCAAATTGAAAACAACAGCTAAAAACTATACCACAAAAGATAAACAGCGCATTAGACATTGCAAAAAATAGTGGTCTTGAAAACATAGTCATAGAAATTATCCAAAATGAAACACACACGCATAAGACTAATGAAAAATATGAATAGATTCTTTCCAGACTGTGGAAAATATCAAGCAAACCAGTATGTGTCTAATTCTTTGTCCCAAAGGACTGAGGAGGTATAAAAACATTTGAAGAAAGAAAGACCATTTTCCAAATTTGATGAAAATTAATAACCTCACATAACTATGCTCAATGAACCCCAACATAAAAAAATGAAAATTATCCAAAATATTTATCAAATTATATTACCACTAGTGATAAAGAAAATTTTAAAAGCTTCCAGAGAAAAAGACACTAAGTTAAGAATAAAAGCAGATTTTTCATCAGAAACAGTGCAAGCAAGAAGATACTAGAGGAAAGAATCATCCTAGAATTCTATACCTTCCGTTAACGTCTTAGAAACATGGACAAATTAAAGAGCTTTTCAGAGACAGAAAAGCTGAAGGAATTAATCAGAGACAGAATTGTACTACAAGGAATAATAAGGTAGCAGAAAAATGGAACACAGAATAATAGGTCTACACAAGAGAATAAAGGCTATAAGAAATAGCAAATATATATACATATATATATACTTTATTAGGATACTGGAAAACTCATTTTTCCAGCAAACACACAAAAATCTGTATATGGATGTGTAGAGCAGTTTTATTCATAATTGCCGACTCAAAATCAAGCATGATGTTTTTCAGTAGATGAATGGATAAACTGTGATATCTAAACAATGGCATGTTTTTTAGCCCAGAAAAGAAATTAGCTGTCAAACCATGAGAAGACACAGAAGAACCTTAAATGCATGTTATTAAGTGAAGGATGTAAGTCTGGAAAATGCTACACACTTCATGGTTCCAAATATATGGCATTCTGGAAAAGGCAAGATTATGGGGACAGTGAAAAGAACAGTGATCCTTAGGGTTTAGTGTTAGGGGATAGGGGTGAAAAGATGGAATCCAGAGAAAATGTAGGGCAGTGAAAATTATATATTTTTGTAGTTATGGACACATATCACATTTGTCCAAACCCATAGAATGTACAACATCAATACTAAACCACTGTATAAACTGTGGGTGTAGGTTCATTGCTTGTGACATAAAAGCAGAGAGAATGGGGGATTTATAGTGGGGGAGGCTGTGCCTGTAGAACAACAGGGAGTATAGGGTCAATCTCTGTAGTTTTTGATCTGTTTTTTTTTGCCTTGAATCTAAAACTGCTTTATAAAATGCCTATTTTTTTTAAATAGAGTATCAATAAGGATATCAAAGATTTTAACATCAATTTATTTGTGCTAAATGACAGTCATAGAACCACCACCTGCAATAGCAAAATATACATTCAAGTGCATATGGCACGTTTACCAAAATGGGTCCTATTCTACAATAGACCATAAAACTAGTTCCAACTAATTTTAAATATTCACAGTATAGCTCACAGTAAAATTAAATAAGTCAGTAACAGAAAGATATTTGGAAAGCATCCAAAAGTTTGGAAAGAATAACTTGGATCAAAGTTTAAAAAAATTGAAAGATAAATTAAGAAAATATTTTGAATGATAATGAAAACAACATC